AACCGATTGCGTGCAAGTTTTCGGAGAACATTAACTAAATAGGGAACTAAATTTGAAGCGTTTTGTATTTGACTTCAAAAATCAGTTGAAATTCACAACAGACATATTGACTTCTGAAAAATTTGTGAAAATAAGTGCAAGAGCAGTTCAGAACACCGTCTTTCTATCAACCTCGGCATTGGTCAAATAATGAACCGTTTTCTTGACGAGCAAACGGGAAGTTGTTAGCAGTAAGATTTACTTATTGCAGTACTTGATTACTTTGCTCAGCTTTCGTCTTTTTCAGAGATAAAAGACTTCGTACATAAATTCTTTATCGCATTATAAACTGCTTTTCTTAAACGCTTACTAACTTGTACTTTTAAACTTTCCAATTTCCAATTACTAGACCAAGATGATTACACTCCGACACTCAGACGAAACAGTTACAGCGTCCAAAAAGGCAATGGAGAAAATCATTCGCGAATACTACTCGGATTTCTTCGATAGCCAGGTCCACCTTCCGTCATATGAAATAAAGGAGGATGGATACATTGTACCACCGGTTCTCCTTTCGAAATCCAACATGCCATTTCGCCAGGGAAAAATCGAACAGCACCAGGTCCGGACAGGATAAAACCAGAACACCTGAAGAACCTTCCACCAATCCTCCTAAATACACTGGCTCGGCTCCTCACACGTTACCTGTCCGAATGCAAGGTCCTTACTCAGTGGAAGACCAGCAAGATCGTGTTATTGTTCAGGAAGGGTGATCTCTACGATATCGGCAACTATTGTCCAATCTACCTAGTGTCTGCCGTCTACAAACTTTTCACTCGAGTCATCCTAAACAGGATTGACAGAACACTAGACGAGGAACAGCCACGTGAGCAAGCAAGGTTTCGAAGAGGTTCGAGGTTTTAGTACGATGGACCACATCCACAAAGTACAAAGGAGACGTGAAGACTGGTCAAATGAAATAAAATAAAGATAAAAAATTTTTCTATGAAGGAGGGAGACACTGTTATTGAAGAGATCCGAGTAGTAATCGTGAATGGTTTTCTCCATTAGAAGGAAGCTGTAACTGTTCCGTTTAGGCATCTGAGTCAACATTTTTGGTTTTCCAATTGGCAAAGCATCGGTGAGCTTTGCGAATGCTTTTGCCAGCCTTTGTATCTTTGACCATAACTGCTGCCCTTCTATCATTAAGATCTTTTTCACCGTCTACCCTAACTGTTTTGCAAGTTTCGACGTGAGTTGGCGGTTGCCTGTAGTTGTGCGATTCCACGTTAGCGTATCAGCTTAAAGCTTCTGGTAAAAGATGTTTCTTGGAGACCTTCGAGCTCCCAGCTTTCATAGTGTTACCATGAAGATGTTGCATGAACTGATCGCTTTTTCGCCAATGTTATCAAAAACGACATCTTTCCTACAGCCGACAAATGAATTGAATAAGTCCCAGTTTATGGTGGTTCTGGCACTTCGTTTTTTGAATCCAGCGGCTTTTTCTCGTTTCTCCGAGAAATGGAATCTTGCACGAAGGAGGTCATGATCTGATCACGTGTGGAATTTTGGGACAACAGCGAGATCGGTTAGGCAAGACCTTCTGTTAACTACGATGTAGTCTATTTCGTTATGGTACTCTCCATTGGGAGACGCGCTGAGGGTGGGGCTTCTGGATTTGCGAGTTACCATGGATGCTCTTGGTAGTCATGATAAACTCGGACAGCCGTTCACCCTACCAGTTCCATTCTAATCCATGGGTCCCGAAGTGATGTTGTTCAGACGTTCTTCTTGGTCCAATCTTGGCGTTGAAATCTCTAATGATGACCTTGAGGAATGTGTAGACTTCTCTGTAGAACTTCTCCAAGTCTATATAGAACGCTTCGACTTCTTCTTTGTTCAAGTTGACTGCAAAACGCAGATTTGATCCACACCTTTTTTAATCGTAAACATTCGATTCAGGTTGTAAATCTCTCGAATGAATAGACTTTCATGGACAAACTCGTGTTAACGAGAACGCCAACGCAGCCGACTCCTCTACTGTCGCATGTTCCGAGAAACAGTTCTTCTCCGGTGTCATAGACGGCGTTGAATGGGTGGCGTTCTCTCGTATCGGCCAGGCCGATGACGTTGTACCTCATCCTTCTTGTTTGCATGAGAAAGTCTTCTATCGAGAACTCGGATGCAAGTGTACTGCATTGTAGGTACAGATAGCCACCTTAGTTCGTTGTAATCCAGAGAGCTTCCATTGGCCGTGAGATTTTAGCAGCCTCTCCGTACTCGTCCTACCCAACGCTGCTGAATTGGGGGCTCTTTCAGGGTTAGGGAAATAACGTCCGTTTCTTTTCCTGTTTTTAGCTTTTTGCTACTTTCGTATAGCATACTGGGCTCTGAATGGGGTGACTGGGTATACTCACGGGTAGCTTGCCAAGTTCTCCCAAAGTGGACATGGAGCTTATTTGTTGGAGGCGACTCCTAAGCGCCTCCCATATACTTCCCTGTCACTTGATTTCAGGGTTTTGGCCGATCTGACTCGTAGAATACAATCTACATAAACTAGAACGCACCCACACATGAGTGCATGAATACGCCTCAGAAATACAGAAAGTATGTGCCAAATAAGTACAGCATAAACTGGGAGTCCATCCCCTGGATCTACCTGCGTCTCAGAGAAGCATACGGTCGCTTTTCGTCCGCGATTTACTCGCTATCCGCCATCTGAGGACGCGCCACGTACCCTCGCTACTAATCGACTATCAGGATCCCTCATATGAGTGAGATCCGTGGGCAACCACAATAATAGTGAAATAATTCTTTCTACTTCCGTTCAGCAAACACGAGGTTTTATTTTATTTCTTTATTTACGTACAAGCTGACTTTTCGGTTGATTTCGCCTTCCTCAGAGCCTGGAAAGGTCAAGTTGACAGAAAGTTGACAGTTGAAACTTGGCACGGCAAATAGCCATTTCTAATGGCTACGAAACTGTAGCTCGGAATAGGTGTAGGGAAATCCGAAGCCCCAAACGACAACTCTAGCAATAAAAAGGTCCCGTTTTTCCTACCTTTCATCTCAAATGATGTAAGCGCAGCTATAAAATGCTGCTTAAGAAGGGCGGGTCTAGAAAATTCGGTAAACGTAGTTGAAATGCCATCGAGTACTCTTAGGCGTCAGCTAGTTCGTAAACGTCTATATGACCGTCTCTGTGCAACGCAAAATTGCATAATTTGCCCTAATGGTGGAGACGGTGATTGCATGAGCTCGGGTACAGTTTACCTGATCTCCTGTAAGGCGTGCGGAAACGAATACATTGGCGAAACGTGCAGACCCTTCTGTGCCCGCATAAAGGAACACCTAGCCGGCAAGAGTAAGCCAAATACACCGCTAGGCACGCATAGGACCCAGAGACATAACGGGGAAGACTTTGAAGGACGTGTCACGATCCTCGCACAGGAATCGAGAACAGAAGCGCGCAGAACTCTCGAGGTGTTTTGGATTAATTCCAGAAATCCGAAAATGAACAGCAGGGAATAGTGCCTCATTATCGCGTGTGATATATAAACCTGTTATTCTGATGGGAGGGGCACGTTACGTTTCCATGTGAATTCTGTGCGGTTGGTTTTCACGCGACACACTCAGGAGAAGACTCATAGAAAGCGTTACGTGTGCAGGGCTGTGTTCAATGTGATTGAAATCTTGGTTTAGCGTTTTTTTTCTTTGCTTGGTTATGGAGATGTTTGTCCGAATAGATTGCTGTCAACTTGTCTTTTCTAGGCTCTGAGGAAGGCGATATCCGCCGAAACGTCAGCTTGTATGCAAATAAAGAAAGAAATAAAATAAAACCTCGTGTTTGCTAAACAAAAGTAGAAAGAATTATTCAATCAATGCTGAGGTTAATAGAATGTCGGACGTGGGAATACTGAGATATTTTCAAGACTTGAACCCTTGGCCAGATCCGAAACCGCGGCTATCCTTTCCGAGGGCTCACATGTTACCAGCTGAACCACTGAGACACTCGTTCCGCCCTTCTCCCAACCATTTTTTTTTGTTCCATAACCGTCATTTTATTTCTAATTCATCACTTGAAGGAACTTTTTTCTGTACGATCAATGAATTTCCGCTTAGATTTCCCGTCGCCTTCTAATCGATAACTATTCGCTCATAAAACAAAGTTGATAGTTCTTTACTGTGACAAACGTTCTTGATACATCATCACGAATGAAAACGAGAATACTCTGAGCTGTGACAAATATATGATCCCTGATCTATCGATTGTATTCGGAAGCAACGCAAACAAATGTAATCAATTTTTACAACAAAGGTAACACCGGATACAATATGCAAAAAACAACGAGATCGATCCATAACCAACACATTGACTAGGATGACAAAAAAAAAACTAAACAGAATAAAAAAATGAATAACCACATGAAGACAGGAAGAGAATGCATGAGCAGTTACACTAATAAACAATACAAAAGGTGAAAAGGAATAAAATTTTCTGTGATACAAGGTCCTTGAAAGGGGACCGTATTCTTAGAAAAAGAGATTATGATAACGAGATCAGTGAATCCTGAGAAGAAGTAAGGGTTGCGTGGAAAAAAATGGCACTATTCCATTCATGCATCGGATACAAAGCGCAAAGATGAAGGTGACGCTGTGAACTGGTCAAGGAATCTGAGCGATAATGAGCGAATTATTGATGTGGCTCATAAAGATTTTACGACCTTTTGCGGACTTCACTTCGGTTCCCATTTTATCCTCGTGGTTTTGTTAGCTCTTTGTATAAAAACCGGAAAAAAATTGTTTGGCACTGCAGAATAGATTTTTTAATGCGTATTGCTGTGCTTAAAATTTCATGCACTTGGTGCAAAAAGTATCGAACATCCGTGCTTTATCCAACTACATCTACAAGAAGTTAGTTTATCTAAATGAATCAAATCTAGTGTAGGAGGACAGAAGAGGGCTCAAAAAAATGAGGTATGAAATCGTTGAGATAACAAAACTTTCTTGTATAAAGCCTGTCATGATAGAAACAGCGACAAAGCAGCGATCTTCATTATCATCAGCACTACACAGATTACGCCACGTGGACGAGTTTCACCGCTGGAGACGAGTTGTCGTGCCTCAGCGATGCTACCGCACCACTCCTTGCCCCGGAATGTCTCACTGGTGCGATTTTGAATTGCAACTCTAAGAAATGGAAAGATGCAGATACGGGTACAGCTCTTATCTGAATCTCCTAACGCAGTGAGGTCGAAGTGAAACGTGGCATGGCGGATCACCTGAAAATGCTACAGATCGTCGCCAATTGGAATAAAAAATATTAATGCCCGTTCTTAGATAAACAGCTAGTTTCAAATATTTTAGTAATCTTCTGTAGCTTTCTTCATAGTTTAGTTGGGGATTTTCATAATCCTTTCCTCTAAAACTATCTATTGCGCTAGCATCTTAAAAACCGCCTTTCATTAAAACCCGGCAACGAATGAGATGACACCAACTTGGTATAAAAATATTTAGTTGACTAACATTTCGGATTTTGAACTAGAAGTTATTATAGGCTTAGTCCAGAAAACATTTGCAAGGAGAGCAATTCATCTTCTCATGCTCACTGTTCAGCAGGAGCCTACGATGACAATCTGGAAACCCCTTAAAGCGAGTATCTTGGAGTCCTATCAAAAAATCTTTCCCGATCCGTATCGAGATTTCGGCCAATGGGAAACTTTTTTAGAACCCGCAGGAGATCCTTTTATATCTGTTATGTGAAAAAAAAACCACAGAAGAGTGTTTGAATTCCAAGGGTGTTGACTACTTTTAACAATGAGCACCTTAGGTGTTGTTAAAGCGAAGGGAATTTCTCGGCAAGTCGGCAAAATCTGCAATTCGATGAACCACCAAAACAGAAGTTAGTTAAGGCATATTTTAAGAGCCACACACAGACTAGTAAGAATGAGATGAGGAATGATTATGTCCCTTGTAAATTGCCCAAAACTTCTTGAATACCGTTTTTGTAGAGCTCATTTGATGACTACGAACCCGACCAATGCTGTAATTCTACAGGTACAATGATCATGTGTAACTTTTCGCAAATAGATCTTTTACAAAGCAATGTATAACTTCTTAACTGCCACTTAGTATTTTTTCATGATAGGGAATTTTGTGAAATACAACCACAATGATGCTGAAATACAACCAAAACTCAGACCCCAGTGCAGGAAAGGATAATCGTAGTTTCGAATCTGGAAAAAATCCTTGCCGTGAAAAAATAATAGGCCACAAACACTGTGATTTTGCCTTCAACCACAGCTAAGGGTCCGAGTTTTGCAAATATCTCAGCACCACTGTGGATGTATGTTACAAAACAAGCAATAAAATGACAAAAACGGGAGAAATATTTCGAAACCGACTTTCCCTGAACCTCGGTATCACTAATCAATATGTATTCTTTCTTTGATGAGCTTACAGGAGGTTGATAATGATGTTTATAGTAACTCCCAAGTCCGACTTTCTATTAACCTCGGCATTTATTGAATATATCTTTCTACTTCAATAGCACCTCGTGCTTGCTGAACAGAAGTAGAAAGATATAGTGAATGATGTTTATTTTCGGCTAACGTTTCGACGTCTTCGTCTTCCTTAGAGCCGATGATCCGAGTCGATGGTCCTCGCTTGTTATTCGTCTCGACGTGGCAACTTCGCCCTCGTGTCGAGTTAGGTCTCCTTCAGTGAATCATCTCCTCGAATGAGGCATCCTTACTCAGTGATGCCCTTTTATACAAGATGCTGATGGTCGATATAATGATAATGTCCGGTGATAACAACTTGTTTTTCTTCCGGTCATGATCATTGCGCACATCGTGCAGAAGTCGGTGTTGTTATCAGCTAGCACAAAGCGTAGTAATATTTCGAAACCGACTTTCCTTGAACCTCGGTGTCACTAATCAATATGTATTCTTTCTTTGTTGAGCTTACACGAGGTTGATAATGATGTTTATTTTCGGCTAACGTTTCGACGTCTTCGTCTTCCTCAGTTTCGTCTTCTACCTCGTGTAAGCTCATCAAAGAAAGAATACATAAAAACGGGAGAGTTTGATTGGCCTATCTAATCGGTCGTTGATTGTACACTTGTTCAGATACGTACGTAGAAATTGTTGTCAGGCAATAAGACTAGTATTTCACAAATGTAGTCTATACAGTATAAAGCATATCGTATAAAGCATGTTACCACTTACACCTCCCATGCAATACATATTAAATTTTCTCGACAAGTAACTATTTCCTATGCACTTCTCAGGTCAGTTTGCTCTCAATATACGCAATATATTCACTGGTTCGAGTCCTATGCAAGACCAACCAAGCCTTTTATTCCTCTGTGAATCGACACTGGATTTGTATAAGAAAAGTTTTCACTAATTCACAACTGTCGGCGACTGTTCGCAGTGAAGATTTGGAAACGCTCTAGCAGCGGTACTACAGTTTTTTTTAAGAAAAACTAGCTCAATCAGAATTAGACGAAATGACGAATATCTTGATTGGTACACGAGTCCATGCGTAAATTTAAAAAAATTCGCGTATGAAGGACGTTGGACATCGAACTGAATGAAATAAGTGTGGGATTAGTACGATATGTGATGTTGGGCCTAACAAAATAAAGAAAAAGCTAAATATAGCACTCATCCTGCGCCATCGATGTGTCAAAAGCAATCCAACGTCGCTTTGCAATCTCTTCATGTTTATCGATCACGGTTTATTTTATGTTTATTGACACATTGACTATATAAGGGCTTAGTGATAGAAGTTCAGAGGTAAACGCTTGCAAAAGAGCCCTAAGCCGCGCCAAGAAGGCTATTCTCTCATCAGTACTCTGCTATTATAGTAAACCTATCTATGCTGTTGTTAAAGAGTCGTTATTTCTTCGTCATACCTTCATTTCTTAAGGGTGCCTGTGGAGCAGTGGTCGGAGGCGCCCTGCAACTGACACGTGGAATCGGTTCCCGCGCCCGTGACCCACCAAGCCTTCCATCCCTGCGGAGTCGGTAAATTGGTACCAGACTTGTCTGGGAAAATAGCAACGCTGGCTCATTACATGGATAGGTCACCGTGAGTCATTGTAGAGGCCAAGTATGCATTCAATCACCTCCATACGAAGCGTAATGAAATAAACGCATTCATCAAGAATTGATCAACGCCGAGAACTTTTGTCCTTTTACCTTTATTTTTTTAGGGAGACGTCTTAAAGGAATAAGCCACTTGTCCAAGAGACGTTCTAGAGCTCGAAAGAGGATGAAATTCATCGAAATGTCGGCCAAAGTCAAACAAATGTCAAAGAATAATTTCGCGCCTGCCGTTCAATAATCCAAGAATATAACCCAGTTCTCAGTTTCTTGAATTATACTTCACTTTACTTTACTATACTGACTTGAACTATACTTTACTATACTTTTATTTTTGCATAATGGAAAAATTTCTTAGTAAATAAACTCACTTGTTGAGCAAGCGGTTTGAGTACACCTTTAGAACACCGCAGTTCCGGCACAATAACGGTAATCACCTGAATAATGGCTTTTTTGCAAGAAATACAAAGAAAACCGCTAAAATTAATTTTGGGAACACCACAGTACTTGAATGATGCCTCATCGGTATGCATGTATATATTGGCATCTAACTTATAATGGATAAAAGACATCTGCCCATCATCGTCGGGGTCAACGAGCAATGAATTAAGAATTAAGAAAAAAAACTTTACTGGAGAATAATTTCTAAGCATTAGAATTTAAAGAATTTCTTAAAACAAAACGCATTTTTTCAATGAAATTTGGACTGGCAGAAATAGTACTTGATGTTACGTTGGCCTTTACGTTAAATCATAACTGCTTTAAATATAGCTAAATCCCTTGGCTTCATGGACCGCCTTCATGTGAAGGCTCCTAGATAGTCAGATCTACACAGAATTTACTAATTGACGTATACAGGAAACAGGAGGGTGGTTGCTTATCATCTAACCAAAAATGATTGTACGTTTCACTTGAAGCATAGGGTTGGAATCAAATCTAGGTTATACCTGGAAGATATCTTCAGGGCCAAGTCTAACTAGTCTCCTACTCCATTAACCTATAACATTGACTAAGACACAGAAATACTCAACGTTTTACATTTCATTCACTGCTTATTACTAACTGAATAATAGGCAGTAGATAAAAAGTTAAACACTATGATTTCTACTACAGCTTCAACTTAACTGCGCGCAGTGCAAATTTGTACCCGTCGGATCACTCCCATTGATAGGTGATTGCTGATGGCAATATTAGGTAGGAAAATGACTCAGAGAAATATAAGGTTCCGGGCTTATTTCAACATCATTATGGTAGAAATACTCATTCAGTTGGTGAAATTTAATGTGTACGCGTTGCTTCTTTTCTATCAACTTGCTCAGCTTCCTCAAATCGTTCTATGAGGTACATAAAAGTGATATCGAGGATATTAATAAATACACTCTCCGAGAATCCAGCAGTAGCAAAACACTTACTGGCTGAAGTCGACAATGGTAACAGAATACGGTAGCTAGCTAGGAAAACAACGATGAGGCTTAGTTCCTTCAGTTGAGACGAAACCATCAGACAACATTGAGACACTGTCAGGTCACATAGTGATTAAAGTGATTAGACGTGGTGAGGAAGATATCAGCTTAGTCTTTTTTTACCACTAGCGAACATTTTAGGAAGCTAATAGTTCAAAAACCACGAACAATGATTACGCGGTAGAGAGACGAATGGAAATTATACTGCCGTCTGCACAACCAGTGAAGACTGGCCAACCAAGTATCCAAGTAAGTAATAGTTCAAAAAGGTGTGATTCGAATTCAGTTGTCATAGTTGTGCTTACCGTAATTGTCAATAAGCTATGGCATTGATCGTCAGCATCTATTTGAATAAGTTTTAAATGGGAACAGAAATAATTATGTTCAATTAAAGTATAATGTGCCATCCTTATTGGTCCTCAAAGAAGGAGATTGGCCGGCGGAACGCGATTATGCCTAATGCTCATCTCATATGAAACGATACCAGTTGATGATACCCTGGAGGGTAATGGGTTTCATAATGAAGCATACGCAAAATTGCGACCATTAATTACTGATGGCAAGTAATTCTTTGACCCTTATAAACTTTACCTCTTCTGTTTTCTGTGTACCTTCCCAGTCTCTCTCCCTTTCTATCTGTTCCTCTCCTTTGTGTTTTCATCTTTTCTCTCACTCGTCTTCTCACTTCCTAGTTTTTTTCCTTTTCTTGTTATCATTTTTTATAAGTGCACTTTGAAAATGTAAAGATGCTGAAACAATGCCATGTCAGAATGATGTTTGTTAGAATCCGAAACGATAATATCTGCATGAGTAGGTAAGTTGGAGAATTTGACTGGTCGAAAGAAACAGTAAAAAAGAGAATCAGAAATGAAACAGAACTATGTATAAAGACAAAAATAAGGAACGTCTTCGAGGTGAAAAATTTCGAATTATGACGTGTATCAAGAGAACTGGGAAAGAATAATCAGGATTAGCCCATGCTGCAAAACTTTTGCGTATTTGTAACAAAGAAAGAATGATTACTATCAGGAAATACCAAAAATCGATTATGTATGGAACCAAATGCTTGAAACTAGTCCAGAAACTCAACAGAATAAACACAAGTGTCAAAAATTGAAGACATGGAATCAACTGAAAAAACGGAAGGGCTAAAGATGGCCTTCTAAAATGATTACTTTTAAGAGAGCTTGATGCGAACAGTAGAGTTCTTTTTAAATGTATTGAATAAAGCCTAAATATTCAGAGATGAGCAAGAGCACTACGAAAAGAACTCAAATGAAAAAAGACAGTTTATTCTATATTATCAACTTTAGTAGTTGAAGATGTCAGGCTGGCACTGGGAAAGCCCATTCACCTCAGTGACGTGCTCGTTGGAATGCGTTTTCTCTATCCTGACAGCAGAGCGTCACCATTTTCCCATGAGAAGCTGCCAATTGCTTTCCTCTCTCTCGAGTGACAGGAGCGGCTCCACAATTTGTACGAGGTACTCACTTTTAACCTCCTCTTTTTGGCAGCTAGAAAGCCACAAATAGTGTAAGGAAACCTAACGTGGCACAGGTTTAGCCAAATTTGGGCATCCCACGCTATGAAATTTCGGACATTCCATCTCATGATGGAAATATTAAACTGTTTCTCGTCATCAATGAGTTGGCCAATTGATGAATCTTACTATTCACATCACAGTAGAACACTAAAGAACGTTTCATCAATTACGGGGTGGTATCTCATTTTGGAGTTTTCCATATAGGAAATTTGTGGAGACTAATGAAAGGTTCAATGAAAGTCAGTTTTTTAAATGTGGAGAATGATTTCAAACTGAGGCAGACTTTGGCCAGGTTGACTTCGGGATTCCAGTGAGCCACAATGGCTTAACCAGCAAATCTCCGAAAAATGGAGATTATGCTGGGGTCCGCATAACCAATGAAGGCGGGTCGTTCAAGTGTCAAGTAAATAAGTAAGATCAAACAGGGTTGATCAATAAACCAGTAAACTTTAAAAAAAAACTTCTAGTGAAATAGGAATTAAGTTTACAATATGTTGTTTAATTACGGTATTCAACCAGATAAGTTTGGCTCCTCAGTAATGACATGACGCTATTAAAAAAGCATAAAAAGATAACACGAATTTCTATAACCTTGCTTGTGTCCTTAAAAACGGACGCCACTCCAATGTAGATGTTGTCTTTAGTAAGGAACAGATCGTCGATATACGCGATACTGTCGTTAATCTTCATTGGATCCTCATACTCAGAGTCCTTCGTACGCACGATAATCTCCTGAATCAAAAAAAAGTTTCCAGAAACAAATAGCCTCAAATAAATGTAAATTTGTAAAACGGGATGAAAGCTGACAAAGTGAAATCCAATCCACAGCAAAGAGCACAATGAAAAGCTATTTTCGAAAAACAAAAATGTCATTTGTGATTAGAATCAATTCTACCGTTCCATTCTTTCCTTTTCTTCTTTTTTCTTTTATCTTTTTCTTTTTGTCAATACTCTCCGAAATCCCTGTTTGCCTCAACATTAATTGTTTGCTCAAAGCGCTTTACAAGCACGCATTTAAGAAGACGAATCGATAGCGGTTTAGCTGCGTAAAGAAAGGAGTTTTGAGAAACCGCAACGAAAGCGGTAAGAAAAGTCGTAAGTATAGAAAAATAAGAGCAAAGACTTCAACGAATTCAATCCGGTATATGAGTGTTTTCTGAAAAAGAAAAAAAAATGTGACAAACGGCTGTTTTTTTTTTTTTTGAAATACGCAAAGGTAGTCATTTGAGCGTCAACCTGCTTCGTTTTAAGATCATGCTCTGCTTCGGGAGAATTCTGGTAATGTAACTGGTAGTAAATCCGAAAAGCGAACCACGTTCCAGGTGTGAGACCGTCAAAGGAAAACAACTGAAAAAACTCTAAATACGATCTCAATAAATAAGGAAAAATCAAAGGAAGAAAAAGAGAATGAAGAATAGCTCCCAGGATCGACTTTCTCTTAACCTCGGCATTGGAATATGAATGTGTCGTTTTCTTGTTCAGCAATCGCGAGGTTTTTAAACAGCATACATTTACTTCCATAGAAAAACACAATACAATACAACGCTAGCTGACGTTTCGGCAGTATCGCCTTCTTCAGAGCCTGGAAGGGTATACTGAAGAATGTTTAAAAACGATGAAGAATTTCTTAATGTCCACGCGTACGTCAACTGAAATTCCTATCGCTCTCTAAAAAGAATTCCAGGATTTTCGTCCTTCGTAAAATCATACGAATTGGTGCTAGTTCTCATGAAGCTCTTCAAATATTATTTATTATAGGATTTGATCTGCTCTGTCTCCAGTAGCCAAAGAGAAATTAGAGCCAAACAATTATTTGCGGTCCAAATTAAGCATTGCAACACTGAAAACCTAACCGAACAATCTTTACGAAAAAATTCCTAACTCATTGGTAATTTGATGGTTTGGAAACATTTTGCTCACTTGGCACTTTAGTTTCTAGGTAACCGTAGTAGGGCTATCCCAATTCATCACTAGAACTGTACCCTGGAACTAGTGTATCTGAGGAAGATTTTCCACTTTGCAAATAGGTTGTTTTACGTTTGTTTAGGCTTTTGGAGGCAAATGTGAGAATGACCAAAATTCTGAGAATGGAGACGTTGCCGGTGGACGGACTTCACGCTGCACATCGCCGTCTGACGTCTAGTAACATCTCCCAGCAATAACAAGGATATTAACCGCTAAGGCTAAAGTGGGCAAAGGTTGAATACTAGCTATAGCAACTATTGTGCACGTTTAAGGTCCATCTCGAAAAATCGTTTTTCCTTTTCGCCCTTTGTTGATATAATTACCAACACTTAAATCGGATCGTTTGATAGTCAAACTTTAGTGAACTACTGCTTAAAGGATAACAGAGGATAACTGATTTAATATTTTCGGATTTGTGGAGTTGAAGGAAATGATCCTGATAATTATATCTTCTAACTAAACATTCCGGCCATCTGAATACAACCACTGAAGATCATGGAGATCAAGGAATGTTATTTGGATAGACATCACTAATGTTTCTGGACAGTCAAAATCGCCTACACAATTATTGTAGTACTCTCTTATTTATATTTGCATGACCTGCTGTCGCAAAGTGCGCGGATTCCTGTGAGTACTATTGAATATTATTCGAGTGCATTCTCTCTGAAATCCAGCGGTAACTCTGCTGGAGTGCTTCCACGGTACCGCAATCGGTCGGAGACATTCATGGATCGGTCCAGGCTTTTACGACACAAGTCTACTACTAATTATCCAGCTCCCGAAGAATGCAGAAATTGTTTGGACCAGGGATGATCAGGCCAGTTGTAGTGCGTGTATAGCTCAGCATCTCTGAGCAATGCGCTCCCACCCCAAAAACCTATAGACGATGTACGAACGCAACGTTAAAATCATCACGAATAGAGGTTGGAAAAAATCATGAGGTATAGTGAGAAGTTCAGACGTCACACACGCGCTACATTTAGATGCGAAACGGTTTCACCTTAGCTTGAAGTGATCCTAGTTTATTCGATACGTATCGACTCATTGGGTGCTCCTGATTAGTGGCATATCACTGGTAGTTTGCATAGATTCTTTGTGATTGAAGGTTGCTTTCATCGGTGACCATTATGAAACCTCTTGCATAATATTTTACATTTTCTTGTACAACAGCACATTTTTGTTTTCCTTCATAAATTCTTTTCGCTTTACGTATTCGACGGCATTATAAGCAAAGCAATAAATAAAAAACTTTTCAGCCTCATCAAACCGTAATTGCTTTAACCTTTTTTTGGTGCCGCTGAGCTGCATAAAATAAAAAGTGATACGATTAACTACTAATTAAAAAAGGGGTTAAGCGTTTAGCTGAAAAGCTCTCGGCGTTGATCAATCTCTAAGGGATGCGCCATGCATTCGACTGCATTATGTATCACTGGAGGTGCTTGAATGCATATCTAGCCTTTACAATGACTCGCGGTAGCCTACTGTTGTATCGAGTCAGCGCTGTTGTCTTCCCAGACAAGTCTGGTAGGAATTTGCCGACCCTGGAAGGATGAAAGACTTGGTGAGCCACGGACGTGGGATCGAACCCACTTGTGCGTCATAAGGCGCTTCCGTCCACTGTGCCACACGCGCTCTTTAGATGTTAATTACTGAGTACAATTAATTACTTTGACATACGGAAGAAGTGTTTAAACAAATGTAACCACAGACTCAAATTTTAGCCTCCTTTATATGTATTTGTAGCGAAGGAAGGTGAAACCAAAACTATCGAAAAAAATTACATCATGAAAAGAACAAAAAACTGAAAGAAAACATATCCGTTCGTAAAAGTCGACCTTACGAGGTAAATATTTCGCTGAGAAACAAAAAAAAACGTTTGGAAGACGATGGATTAAAGTCGCGTTGTTGTGTTCGATAGGAATTGATCACTTTAGTTGTTTCCCTTTTCGGATAGTTCGTCTTCATGAAAGATTCTATGAGTCCCAAGATTATTTGCAAATAAAACGACTCTTTGTTTGCTGGCTTCGTTGTTCTGTTTTTCTTGTTTCTCTCGGCAATAATCAGGAGGTTGCACGGCACCCCAGTGGGTCTGTTATCATCATTACCAAAGAATCACCTGCCATTTCAGATCGATTTGAGGAAGGTTTGCAGTTATCCAGCCAAGTTTCTTCAACTACGGCGCCGATTCTAACGACAGAGTTTACTTATTTTCGGCTTCCAAGTAGAAAATTCGAGTAGATTACGTGACTCTAGTAAGTGAGCCATTGCTGAACATCACCTCTTTGTGTCGTTCGTAAATTTCAGCTTACTAGGAAGCCATATCGGGACAAATAAGTACCTCAATGTGTGGAAATATCGAATAGCATCGAATTGTGTGCTCATTACGATAAACATACCATTGGATGTCATTCGGCTAAACAATTCACATTAAGCCAAATAGGATGCGGACAGGGGTCAACAAACGATTTTAGTGGACCGATGGCCTGCAGTCGACCGCGAGGGAGGCAGATCATCAACGCGATGTCGCCACAATAAGAGCGACATCCGGTTCTTTAATAAGGACAAATCAACCCTTTAATACGATGATGTCTCGTCTCGAACAATAATCGCATAAGTATTGGGATTTGATGCGGAAGAATAACGATGTCGTTCAATTCTATGATGATTGCCGGAACGAAGTAGGAAGAGAAATCGCCGAAGTATACGACTGAGAAAGGTAATTGATGCTGATGGAAGAATGAAATGGAATGTCTACGAAAACAGCTCTATGATTTAACTTGGAATCATTTTCAAACCTGCTCAGATTATGCCATGTTTCAGAATAAAGAAAGTTGAGCACTGTTGCATATACGGGCGGATTTTGAAGTTTCGAAATGACTTCGAATACATAATGTGCTTCTTCTATATATGATATCAGACAGTCATTCCTTCGAGGTTCTTACGCTTCTGCTGTAGTAAATTTATGCTAGTCGGATCCCCACTGTTGTATCCTTCAACTGTAAGTGACCTGCCATGCCCACTGAAAGAATTCGAAACCTACAAAAACCTTTGCATGGGCTTCAAATTTCGCCACTTTTTCACTAAAATAATTTCGTGCTGAAATAACATTAATAATCGTATGTAACGCTTGTTTTGCAGAGTTGTTAATATTTGGAAAACCTAAGCTTGTGGTACTAAAGAGTTTCAAGTAGTCACTGACGTATTTCAGAGTGGTCTTGAGGGCTCCATTAAAAAAAGTATCAGTTTTTTTTTGTACTGAATGTTTTATTATGAGTGACACTGCAGGGAATGATCTCTTAGCTCCCTCTACACTTCTTAGCCATGACGAGACATAAACCATCGAACGACTTCCAATGGTACGAATCCAACAATAATATTAGTAACAATAAGGATGACAATAGTAATGAAAGGATAAAGCTCTCACTGCTGATCGGTTCCTGAGGAATGCGCTATGCATTCGACCTCATTTAGCATCGTTTGGAGATGATTCAATGTATATCTGGTCCTTACAATGACTCGCAGTAGTTCATCGATGTATCGAGCCAGTGCTGCTATCCTCACAGACAACTCTAGTACCAATTTTCCGAACCCGGAGGGATAGAAGACGTGGTAGGCCATGGGCACGGGGGTATAATAATAATAGAGTAATAATAATAATAATAATAATAATAATATAAAGAGGTCTACATTACAGCCGTCACGTTATGGTTATTTTACTTTGTAACGCTACTGTAACTAGGTAATGGAAGAAAATATCGCACATAAGTCTGCAATGGAGGAGGCGAACCACTATCAGGATCACTTAATCCATGAATGAGTTGGACACTTTAATCTGAAAACGCAGCTAAAAATAATGTTAAGCCTCTGTGAAACCCTGAATTCTAAACTTCTTGATTAAAAAAGGCCATTGAAATAAAGAGGTTTTCTAGTGGAAGTGTCTTCTTAGCCTTCAAATCCCTCTAGTCAGCATGAGAAACCAGCTCACGACGCAGGATGGCACCCACTCGAGCTAACAATTAACACCACTAGTTTTTATTTGTATCCAATTATAATTCTTATATAAAACGGACTCGTGTGGCGTAGTGGTTGGAGGCGCCGCTGTAACACACAAGTGGGATCGATCCCTGCGCCAATGGCCCACCAAGCCTTCCACCTCTCCGGGGAGGATAGCAGCACTGGCTCGATACATCGGTAGGCCACGGCGAGTCATTGTAAAGGCCAGGTATGCATTCAATTACCTCCAGCGATACTTGATGAAGTCGAATGCACAGCGAATCCCTCAGGGATTGATCAACGCCGAGAGCTTTATCTTCTATCCTTTATTCTCTTATAATGTAATAATGTGTTTTTGTTATTGCATTTGCTTGAAATTCACTAAATTTTAAAAAACAAAATCTATAAGTGGAGGAGAATGTGAAAACGGCTATTGTCGTCAATGAATTAAGTCAAGTCAATGGATAGTTTTGTAAGCATTTCAGTGAAAAACACTTCAAAGTGCAATGACTCGATATCTCGTAAAGAACGACCTCGTGGGATTCTGCCGTTTATCGTTGTCCTTAAATGCATATAGCTATTCCGATGTATAAGCGACGTACTGAGTTTCCCATTTTTAATTGCCACAGCTCCTACACGCTAGCATACGATATTTTATGGAAAGTGTACCCTATAACAAGCCTCTATTAATCCAGCTACATGTCCAATCTCTTCGATGAAATTTAAGGGACGGTTAAACAAAATAGAGCAATCCGCGTGGATGATGAATATGTTAATTAGAATTATAAAAATGAAGAAGACGAATAACAAATGAAAGGAAAAATCTTTTTACACAGTGCTCGAATGAGGTTGAAAGGTCTCGCCTTATTTTCATACCCTGCCTTTCAAATGCCAATAAATAATAAATAGATCGGCAATAGAACAGTTTTTTTCACTGATAAGATAATATGCATTATATATATACATATATATATATATATAGAGAGAGAGAGAACTAGATGAGAGACATGCGAAACGAAGGACACGCATGATGTGGTGGAGAACGCGTCACTCCCTGGAAAGGACAATAGCGCGTTCGTTCCCCATCGCAGGCAACTGCGGTCAGGAGTTTTGCTAATATCTCAGCGACACTGTGGTTGTATTTCGCATAATACCTTGCTGCGAAAAATTTTAGTAGACAGCAATTAAAAAGCTGCTTATATATATAGATTTTGGTATATGTATACATATATATATATATATATACATATACATATATACCAAAATCTGTATGATTGTAAAAAGAAACATGTGAGTCATACATAGAGTATAATGTTCGATTAAATAAAGAAGTAGGTCAAACAAATTTTTGTTGAATAAAGTAATTTATTGGGAAACTTAGTAAGCACCAGGAATTGTCCTCTAACACCATCTTTCGCCACGAAGTTCCAGAAGTATCTCGAAGACTCACTGATTATGACTTTACTTAGAAGGAACAGAGTCCATGGACTTGACAACATCGTAGTTTCAATACTTATGAATTCACGCCACAGGAAAACAATTTGAGTAATAGTTACTGGCATTAACGTGCCATTAGATTTTGCTAGGAGGTTGCTAGGAGGCTGATTAGCAATAAGCCGACTACAAGTTAAAAAGCATCATTGAGCAACGAACACGACGAATGGTATGGAAAGAGAGGGAGATCGTGCTTATGAATGAACTGGATAAACGACTCACCTGGTCTCGTGTGGATCCTTTCAGTTGCGTCTTACGGTATTCTATTAAACGATCCAAGTCGAATATCTGTATCGACATGTCAAAACTGCTAACGTTTCCACCCTAATAAGTACTAGTAGCAGTTTCCTTTTTGATTTTAATAGTGTATTCAGATTTAACGAAAAAGGAAAGAAACCTTAATCATTCGAATCACCAACGAGACGTCAGTCACCGATGCTGGCTCAAAACGTGCGACGGCCTCAGTATACGGTGACGACGCGTGGACTATGAGAATAAGGATCTTCATTAGCATTTTCTCATGTGTGCTGAAAGAAAATGCACGAAAATGATACGGAT